AAGAGAAGAAAGGAAAGAAAACCGTGAAAAACTGATCTGCATCTGTACAACCTTCCAAACTAGAGATATATTTAAGAATACAGATTATTGAATAGGTTCACTCTAATAACCTATTCGACACAGAATACATTTGCTAGGTAGGGTATTACAGATCTTCCATATCTTTGCTTGAGTCAGTCAGTCAGTCAACTACAATGTTGGACCAGGCACATATATGCATCAGTCCAAGTTGTCATACCACATTAGCACAACAAGATGAACATTGTATTCATAGAAGTAGTCGATTCAATGGTGGTAATTCATAAAAGAGAGATTGCGTATAAGAATATAGTACAGGATGAAACAACTAGAAAGAAAGGTATGAAGCAACTTCAATCTCACGTTTTAAGGGAAGACCTTGAGTATGGGGTTAACGTTCCCATCCCGTAGAAAACTAACTAGCTAAAAAACGCTAACCAGAGAAAATTATTCAAACCTTTTAAACTCTGCCCCGGGAGTCAGGAGGTCTTCATTTAGAAGAACTATGACGCCTCATGATGAAAGCCGAATTCCTTCGGAAGTCACGCGGCCGATGCCCCTTCTGACAACCAGAGCAACCATTTATTTAAGTACATGGAATGCTCGTAAAATGTGGGAGACCGGGAGAATTTACAAATTGAGGAGATACAACCTGGAGGTGCTTGAGATCAGTGAAAAACATTGGACGCAAGTTGGACAACAACGACTAACTTCAGAGGAGCTTTTGTTATACTCCGGCCATGAAGAAGAAAATGCTCCACATACACAAGGAGTTGCATTGATGCTGTCCAAACAAGCACAAAAGGCACTTATAGAATGGGAATCTCATGGACCACGGTTCATCAAAGTCTCCTTCAAAACAAAGAAAGAGGGCATTTCAATGAACATCATCCAATGCTATACGCCTACCAACGACTACAATGAAGAAGCTAAAGATCAATTCTACAATAGGCTGCAGTCAATCATCGAGAAGTGCCCAACAAAGGACCTGACCATTCTGATGGGAGATTTCAATGCCAAGGTTGGAACGGACAACACTGAATATGATGAAATCATGGGACGACATGGATTGGGAGAAAGAAACGAAAATGGTGAGAGATTTGCAAACCTATGTGCCTTCAATAAACTGGTCATAGGTGGCACCATATTCCCACATTAACGCATTCACAAAACCACATGGACTTCACCGGATCACACCAAGCAAAACCAAATCGACCATATTTGCATCAACAAAACGTTCAGGAGGACTATAGAAGATGTGAGAACCAAGAGAGGAGCTGATATAGCATCAGATCATCACTTGGTGGTCACCAAGATGAAATTGAAACTCAAGAAACACTGGACAATGAGGCGGATAATATCACAAAAGTTCAATTCGACCTTTCTTCAGGATACTAACAAACTCAACAAATTCAAGATAGTCCTCAGCAACAAGTTCCAGGCCTTTCATGATCTCTTCAATGGAGAAGGACCTAATATGGAGAGCAACTGGAAGGGGATCAAAGAGGCAATCACTTCAACATGTCATGAGGTCCTGGGCCACAAGAAGCAACATCACAAGGAATGGATCACTGTTGATACACTGGATAAGATTCAAGAAAGGAGGAACAAGGAGGCAGCAATCAATACCAGTCGAACAAGAGCAGAAAAAGCCAAAGCACAAGCTGAATACACAGAAGTAAATAAACAAGTTAAGAGGAGCATCAGAACCGACAAACGTGAATATGTGGAAGATTTAGCAATGATGGCGGAAAAGGCTGCAAGAGAAGGAAACATGAGACAATTGTATGACACGACAAAGAAACTCTCTGGAAATCGCCGCAAACCAGAACGACCAGTGAAAAGCAAGGAAGGCGAGGTAATCACCAACATTAAAGAACGGCGAAACAGGTGGGTAGAACACTTCAAAGAACTCTTGAATCGACCAGCTCCACTGAACCCACCCAACATCGAAGCAGCACCAACGGACCTCCCAATCAATGTTGGCCCACCAACAATTTAAGAAATTAGCATGGCCATCAGACTAATCAGGAGTGACAAAGCAGCAGGACCAGACAACATTCCATCAGAGGCACTAAAAGCAGACGTAGCGGCAACTGCACGGATACTCCACATTCTCTTCAATAAGATTTGGGATGAGGAACAAGTACCAAAAGACTGGACAGAAGGACTCCTGATCAAAATACCGAAGAAAGGCGATTTCAGCAAGTGTGATAACTACAGGGGCATCACTCTTCTCTCAATACCAGGAAAAGTCTTCAACAGGGTATTGTTAGACAGGATGAAGGACTGCGTAGACGCCCAACTTCGAGATCAACAGGCAGGATTCCGTAAGGATAGATCGTGTGCAGACCAAATCGCAACTCTACGGATCATTGTGGAACAATCAATTGAATGGAATTCATCACCCTACATCAACTTCATTGACTACGAAAAGGCATTTGATAGCGTGGACAGAACAACACTATGGAAGCTTCTTCAACACTACAGCGTGCCTCAGAAGATAGTCGGTAGGACTCTAATTTATGGACGAGCCAATCAGAAGCGTTTTTGGAATTTCAAGGTCACGGCGCTAAGTTCAGTGCGAGATGCTCACATTCAATCGTTTTACAGCAGATTTTAGAGAATAGGTGATCGTTGAGAGACTACAGCAGATGGGACTATTAAGAAGTTCCTGTGTCTGTGACTGCGGCAATTAAATGACCGCACCACGATGTGCAGACTGTCGCGATGACATTGTATTTCGTTGTACTATATGTTGTAGAAAAAAATCCGCTCGAACTGGCACTTTTTTTGCCCGGTCACGGCTAAGGCTAAGACAAACCATGATAATCGTTGCAAATTGGATCATAAAGTCTCCAGTAACATTAGCTGCGGCTATACCGATGGTTGGAAAGCGTATAGATACCTCTCGAGACTTGATTTTGTGCATCATGTGGTGGTGCACAAACGTCATTTCTTTGATCCAACGACGGGGGGTCCATACAAACAACATTAAGGGCATGTGGTCTAGGCTGAAGCATTTTTTAAGACCCTACTACGGCTCCAGAGGACGATTATTATGGAATCATATGGACGAGTTCTTATACCGCATGCACTATGATTTCAAAACTTCTGGACCTATATCAAACCTCAACAAGTTCTTAAATAATGTAAAAGAAGAATATCCATTGTAATTCATCACTTTTTTATTATATATTTTCACTTCATACTAACTCACTTCTGATAGGCTAATGTCCTCAAGGTCACTTAAAAATTCGTTCAAAGGTCGTCCATAAAGTAGAGTTTCACCAGATAGTCAATGTCATACGGAATTCCTATGATGGATTAAACTGCAAAATTGTGCATGAAGGATAGTTGACTAAGTCGTTCGAAGTGAAGACCGGTGTCAGGCAAGGTTTCTTACTCTCACCCTTCCTCTTTCTCCCGGTGATCGACTGGATCATGAAGACATCAACATCTGAAGGGAAACACGGGATTCAACGGACGTCTAGGTTGCAGTTGGATGATCTAGACTTCGCAGACGATCTGGCCCTTCTATCCCAAACGCAACAACAAATGCAGGAGAAGACGAACAGTGTGGCAGCAGCCTCAGCAGCAGTAGGTCTCAATATACACAAAGGGAAAAGCAAAATTCTCCGATACAACACAGCATGCACCAATCCAATCACAATTGACGGAGAAGATTTGTAAGATGTAAAAAACTTTACGTATTTGGGCAGCATCATTGATGAACAGGGTGGATCTGATGCAGATGTGAAGGCGCGGATCGGCAAAGCAAGAGCAGCATATTTACAGCTGAGGAACATCTACAAATCAAAGCAACTCTCTGTCAACCAACACCAAGGTCAGGATTTTCAATACAAATGTCAAGACAGTTCTACTGTATGGGGCAGAAACCTGGAAAACTACGAAAGCCATCATCCAGAAAATACAGGTGTTTATTAACAATTGTCTACACAAAATACTTTGGATCCGTTGGCCGGACACTATTAGCAACAACGTACTGTGGGAGAGAACAAACCAGATCCCAGCAGAGGAAGAAATCAGGAAGAAGCGCTGGAAGTGGATAGGACACACATTGAGGAAAGCACCTAACTGCGTCACAAGACAAGCCCTCACATGGAATCCTCAAGGCCAAAGGAAAAGAGGAAGGCTAAAGAACACATTACGCCGGGAAATGGAAACAGACATGAGAAAAATGAACAAGAATTGGATGGAACTAGAAAAGAAGATCCGGAATAGAGTGGGTTGGAGAATGCTGATCGGCGGTCTATGCTCCATTGGGAGTAACAGGCGTAAGTAAGTAAGTAGAGTATATACACCTATGCTATTGTAATCGATTCCGAGTCATGTCACACACAGTCTCCAACCATTGGTTACGATAGTAAGTGGACCCCAACCAAGTTGTCAGCTTGAGTGCATAGATTTCAATGTAGATACGTCATGTTCTACCAGAACATATACAAAGATAAAGGTATGAATGGAAGGGATGTTTAGTATCTGATAAGATTACACCTGCCAGCAGTTTGCAACAATTTAAATGTCTATCTATAACTACTGAACTTGATTAGAATAACATAAGTACGATGAGTGTAAAGGATACATTCGGACAATTATTATTTTACTAGAAAGATTCGAATTCACAAGTATAGTTAGCTATACGTTATGATGAATGCTACTTCAATCTGTATTCCTAAAATAGAATGCAATGCATCATATCCAGATAATCATCATTTAGTACTAATAATTATTGTTGTTCTCATTCCATCGATTTCTAAATTGTAGAACATTTAGATGGACTAATCGAAAAATTCAGAACAAACGAGGAACAATTACAAGATCTGAAAAGTAAGTTCATTCAAGGAAGTAGAAATGTAAACAGCATAGACGGGTAAGCAATTAACAGATAAATGATCATATTGTCGGTTAAATGGAGATACGACTTATCACTTATCGTTCATCTTTCAGATGAAATCAATATGGAATTGTCAACAGAAAGTCAATCAATTGATCAATGTATGTTGAAACATGAACTAATCAAACAAATTTATCTGATGATTGTAGATATGAAGTGCAGAAGTAAAACTTATCAATCTATCGAACAAAAGATACTTATGGGAGGTCAGTGTGTACCGAATGTATTTCACTTCGGAATTGATGAATTCGATCGTCTGCAAATTACTGTTGTTGTTGTTGATGTGTGTGTGTGTGTGAAGTATTCATGCATCTGATGATTTGATTATTAATATGAAAATTCGAGCTGTTTATCATACAGACATGGGATGTGTAGCTAGACTCAATTGTAGAACATGTAACATGACACATGGCAACAGTGTGCATGGAGTTCGACAGTATTTGACTAGTTCACAACGAACACACTCAACATCCGACCAATTATGCATACAGATGAGATGATCGCACACACACACACACACAAACACAGAGAGTTTGTTGAATGGGCACATGTCAAACTGTTGGTTTCACACCAATACAAATACCGACATTGCCTCGTATCAAGTCTCGTGATAAGAATCTCAACATTATTGTATTTTGATCGTTGTCGCCAAATTCTCACATCAATCGTCGGAATGATGTAATGAACTTACGAATAAAATATTTCGGAACAAATAAGCAAATAAATAAATGATAGAATAGTGAAACATGATTTATCAATCGAGTTTATCTCTCACTCAATGTGTTTCATTGCTACTTTACATTCTCTTGTCCATCAATGTTTAGAGTTAATCAATGAAATGACAATACAAGAAAACATACATGGTATGTGTAATTTCCTCCAGTGTACTGATCGTGTTTGACAACTGAAACGGTATTCATGCCACTTCATCAACATTTTCACAATATTTGAAATGTGTTGATGATAAGTGTAGTTTGTATGGGAACACAATCATCATTTAATATACTTGACATCAACACTCCATTTACTTGTGAATGTTTCCAATGTGGTTCAATGTCTGTGATGACGAACTCTATGTGCTACATAGTTGTGGTTCTGTAATCTTACCGAATGTAAACCTTCTTATTTGACTATTGAATTGTAGAAACAACTGTTCGAAATTCTGATATAATGAAGGCGTGTTTCACTGAAGAACAGTCGGTTTATACAAGTGAGTGTGAATACTTACTAATGAGTGTTTGGCACATATGTTTCCTTTGAATTATTTAACGATGTTTGTTGGGATGGTTTCTGGGAACTATGACGTTGCCTTCATAGTCCCTAAAGGAGCTGAAGGTTATCCATCCGCTCAGAACTTTATGGAGCTTTCCAGGTTATCAACGTGACATGATACTATTTTACAGTAGTGTAATATACGTTTTTGTGGATTGGATGAGCCATAATTTTGGTATGACAGACGCTGATATCTATAAATACTCATGATTTCCTACTTATTTTGATTATTACCCGACAAGCACTGCAGTAGTCTTCTTCCGTTTTGTGGTTTGCAACTGTTGGTTCTATACGCTCGAGTGCCGTTGTTGTATTTTGTGTTCTGTGTTAAACAAGTAACTAACCTGACACTGGCGATGGGATGTACCAATAGTAGCGCCAATTACTCTTAAACATTCAGAATCTATACTTGAACTCCAGGAAGAACGGTACGAACAGTTCGAAGTGAGTGTCCGGGAGATGCTAACGCAACAAATGAATCTTAGTCATAAACGACTTGCTGATTATTCATGTAATTCACATACCGATTCCATCATTCATTCTATCCATGAATTTAATTTCGATGGTTTGGCTGGTATTACTTTTGAATTCTGGTTCAAGAAGCACGAATATTTGTTCAAGGTCGACCTCCAAAAACTTGGTGACGCAGTCAAGATCAGAACTCTGCTACGAATACTTGGCATGGTTGAAAACGAATGTCAGAGTAATCGCATCGTTCCAAAGAACCCATGAGATTTTTCGACGAGACTATAATTTATGGGTGAACCAATCACATATGAGATAAGAAGTTTTGGATTTTGGCGCGAAATCAACCCATCCATTTGGCTATATAGAGTCTCGGCATCATAGCCGATGTCAGTTCGTGATGAAAACCCTATATCTGATTCCTAATACTAACCATAAACTGTAAATATTATTTCTAACTCTTCACGCTGGTTTATAACCCTCATTTAGCCGTAGAATGTGAGTTAACATTCTCAAGGTCTGTTTAGCGTCGCTCAAAGGCCATCCATAAATTATAGTCTCACCGATTTTTCTTTTAATGCAACAATTGATATCTTCTCGGAAGTCTTTGCTGAAACGTCATTTTAGTTTACTATCCGCTATCAGTGCCTCAAGATAATAAAAGCCGGTAATAATGACAAGGTAAAACATGCAGACTTACTAAAAAGTGAATGTGAGAGGTTTAAAGTATCAACAGTGACAGCAGATCAGTTTAAGTGTCTCGTGTTTGTATACGGTCTCCAATCTCCCGAAGATGCTGATAATAGAACCAGAATTTTGTGTAAAATGGAACAATCACCGAACAAAACGCTACAGGAAGGAACCACCTTGAGCTCCCACCTTTGGCGAAATTTTGGGGTTTAGGTGCCATTTCCTTAAATTTTCCCCAGACCTGTGGAAATTCCCCAATACTTCCCCAAAGTTTGGAGATTGGGAAGGAGTATCAGAGATTGACTAACTTGTAATACGACACCATGATTAAAAATAATACCCAGCCGCCATACGTCCATGTTGTAAGCAAAAAGGAAGATTCCGGCTCAAGAAAATTATCGCACACCGACAATCAACCCTCACCTTCATGCTGGCAATATGGAGATTGACATTGTAAGAGGTTCTGCCCATACAGAGAACATTGTCGCACTAAATGTCATCGCAAGGGTCATAAAGAAATAAGTGGGGTAAGACTACAATTTATGGACGACATTTGAGCGACGCTGGAGTGACCTTGAGAGTGTAGCGTGGCGTCGTGTTGAGATTAACTATGAACGCCGCTACCAAGAAACACGTGCCAAGTGAATCAGAAGGCGAAGGTCGAACGTAATCAATTAAATCCATAAAATCCTTGAGAAGCCAAATACCAGAAGGCAATTAATGGACCATATCGAGATATATATTTGCTGGCAATCTCGTGGTATCGAAAGGATACCGAGATCGTGCCAGGATACAACCTTGGTTACAGAACGTAACCGAATTCGCGCGAAGTCACAATCAAAGTGTTAGTACAGGAATGGAAGCACAAAATCGCTGTCATTAGCACAGTCAAACAAAAGCACATTAAAAACAAGCACTGGTACAAATGGTTATAATAATTGTTTTTATTAAACCAGTCGTGTTCTCGTGATAAATGTGAGTCACTACAAGAGTGAGCATCTACTATTTAGGACTAAATGAGGGTTGTAAAGCAGTTAGAATTCTCTTTTACTGTTAACGATTATGGTGAAAAGTTAGATTTAGGGTTTTCATCACAAACTTACATCATCTATAATGCCAAAACTCTATTTAGCCGAATGTATGGATGAATTCGTGATTCCTTATCTCATATCCGATTGGTTCGTTCATAAATTATATTCTCGTCACAAGCTGCAGAAAAAACCCATAAGAGACATTTTTCGAAACCTTGCTTCGAGAAGTACAGGTACGGAGCAGAAACTAACAAAACCTTGGAATCACATTACGGATTACGAATTTACCTCCAAAGAAAGTATCTAACTTTGGATATTAATAAACAAATTACTCGTCTTTGACTTGATACAGTATCTGATATTACTCTGGTCAACCCAGAAACTTGGAGGAAAATTGAGAGACCCACAGTTTATCCAACAACACAACTAGAACACAATGCATCTGGTGGGAAGTTAAATATTGTTGGAGAGGTATCTTGTACTGTTTCTAAAGATGATGTGAGGTTGAATGCAACAGTACACCTTACAAAGAATCCAGTATTCGACCTTTAGGGGTCAGATCTTATAGTGACACCAAAACTAGCAGAGCATTCGATTAATAACAGCTGCAGCCTAATCAGAACTGATAACTCCTTAGAGCTCGACCAGAAAAATGCCAAGCTACAAAGACACTACCACATGTCTATAGAAGGATTGGGAGAATGTACAAAATCCAAGGCATTATTATACCACAAACATGGAAGTACTTCCATTTTCCGAGCTAAGAGACCTGTGCTATATGCTGCCCTTACAGTAGATAGATGGAGGTGACTAATGGGGCTCATTCGAAGTGTATAAAACTTGACTGATGTATTTGCGAAGGATCTATTCAGACTGTTCACCTAGTGGCTACTAAGTCATTTCTATTCGTTCAAAATCATTTTTCAAATAATGATGGCGATGATGGTGGTTAACTTGTCGTTTATAGATTGAGCAATTCTACAATCGAATATTATAAATCCATATAATTCTAATATTTTCTGCAACATTTGTTTTTTCGTTCTCACATCGATCCAGAATTGGTGAATAAATACAGAAATGAAAATTGTCAGTTACCCGATTCTAACAATATTCGAGGTAAATTTTCTTAATGAATATACCTGTCTTTGTCATCCATACACATTCTAATACATGAGTCACATTTGTATATTTCATTGTTCATAGATAATCAACAACTACAGCACAAATTCCGTAGATTGGATGATCTACTACGACATCGATATGGGAAAATACGTGTATGCAACATTTATTTATGTGAGTATAGCAATTCTTCTCTGGATGTACATTGATTATGACAGATAAGAAATTATTCAGGTAGATTTTTAAAATAATGGACAAATACTTCTCATTCAGTTCACCAAGTCATATGAATCCATACTATCACTACATTGAGAAATGTTCAGTCAGTTAGTCAATTAGAACATGAAGATAAATGAAGATATGGAAACATGAGAATACAATTCATGATAAACTAGACCATTAGAACTGAACTTTTTGTTACTCGTATGATATTTGCAAAGTTTAATTCAAACGGGAACAGACACTGACATAGTTGTTGATTGCAACAATAAACACTGTGAATGTGAATTATTTCTCTCAAACATTACATTATCACTCACATTATAGATCTACTCACTATTCGATTTTCATTAATCTACCATGTGCTCACTAATGACTAGCTTCGTGAGAAAATTCTCGGAGTTCTGGTGAGGATTCGTGACCAGTGGTGTTAATCCTCGTCTTGTAGAAACAGGTGTCTACCTCAGTACAATAGGAGATGGCCGCACAATTTTGTGGATTGGTTGCGGTTATACATTAACACCATTGGATGTCGGCTCATTAGTTCAATAAATTGAGTGTTCGCGCGCGAGCGGGATCGTGGATGCGCACTTCTGGGGAGTCCCACAGTAGGACGAGACAGCTGTCCAGTGCTTCAAGGTTTTCAATAGTGGTCTGACATCAATCGGTTCATGATCTCAATCAAAAATCTATCAAGTATTTCACTATTCATACCTGTGAATTTAGATTTCAGTTAAATTTTATTTGTTTTCTTACATTTCAGTTTCACATGACATATTGCAAACTATTCATAAACAAATTGATAATCAATTAAAGCAACGTTAGTTAGTTGTCTTGTTTTATTTATCTTGAGTTTTATTTGTTATTTATTGTTAGTTCTTTCAATTGATTCATTGAAAGACAGTAATTGAAATTTAGTTCTAAATGTCGATCTTTTTACGCTTTATTCTTTATTGAAATCTCTAATGATATACTTGTATTGGCAGTTAGGATAGTATGATGCACTTGATTTATTGATGTATGGGTGAGAATTTCGATCGTATGACTTCACTTTGGGATCTATTTGAAAAGAAATCTCGTTTGGTTCTGTTCCATTGATAACTTTTGCCTTACTTCTGATTTCAGTCTCTTTTTTCTCATTTGAACTTGTGGTGGTGGAATATTAAATGTTATCACATTATATTTCCATTGGTAAAAGTTTGGGTTTAGATGACTGAAAAATTTTTTTTTCTATCTCTCAGTTGATTTTTGTGTCCAATAGTTAGTGTGCTTTCGACAATCACTTCATAAAATACTGTCCCACGTCTTTTTTTATACACCTAAATATCCATTTTGGCTTGCCAGGTCGAAACTCACGTGCATAGACTGTCATCTACTTTAAATTCTCGATTCTCCGGACAATTCCTTTGCTTATTATTTTGTAGTCCCCTCATTCTGTCTTACGTTTTCAAAACATCAAAAATGTCGTAATTGGTCGGCCAATTATTATTTGGGCTGGTGATTCCCCGTCTTGATACTTTGGACTAGGTGTAATCCTACAAGAAATTGGAAACTGATGCAGAGTTTCTTCTACGTTATCTCCTCTCATCTTTAAAAGAGTTCGCTTACGAATATCAACAAATTTTTCGGCTTGCCCATTTGACTGAGTGTGATACGATGGGATTCTAATATGTTCAATCCCATTTCGTTCACAGAACTCTGCAAACTCTGACGACGTGAACTGCGTCCCGTTAACTGAAACCAAAATATTAGGTGTCCCAAACCTATCAAATAGTTGTCTGAGATGCAACAGTGTTTGAGAAGTAGACGGTCTTCGCACAACATAAATTTCAGGCCATTATGAGTATAAATCTAACACCACCGAAAATATGGTCCATTTATTGATTCGGCATAGCCGATGTGTACTCGGACACAAGGCTTGTTTATCTCTGGCCATGGCTGGGATTTTAATTTCAGTGTATTCAACAGTAGATCCCACAAAACAAATTTATCCATCCAATCAAAACCTAATAGGTTGGTATGACAGTCCCCAGAAATACAACATTTTCCGATCATAGTCTTGTCATCCAATGTGAGAGGCAGTTTCATTTTTTCAAGAAGAGTAATGTTAGTTTCTGTCGCACTCTTAGCGTTATATTATGTAAGTTGAAATCGAGGTCGACCAAGTTTTATCTAAGTCTCTCTAGAAATTAATGTTATGTCAGACCCCGTATCAACTTGCAGCTTAACCGAATTCGCTGGGAGTACAGACCCTTATTTCTATTAAAAGATTTACGCAAGACACTAACTTCCCCAATCCATTGTTCCTTTCTACTAGATTTGTGTCATGCTTCAAATTCACAATTCTTAGACGATCTTCAGAAACTGATTTCAGACTGACATTGGGATCTTGTTTTGATCCTCGCTAAAATCCGTGTTCTGATGTTTGCATCTACTGCCGATTGTAACCGTCAGACAAAAATAAGGCATTGAAACTGATCGGAGAATATTTCTTGAAACAGGAACCGCTCACATTCCCGGCTCACGATGCTTGTATACGTCACATAATCGTCCTGTGGTTCTTTTACAAGCTAGAGACACTGATATCTAGTGTTCAAAAATTGATGATCGTCCATCAAATATACGTGTAAGGCATTCTACTATTTCTCTGAAGGTAATGTTGGTTGGCTTCTTTGGGCACAGAAAATTGCAGAACTTTTCATGTTCAGAAACTCCAAACTTAGAACCTTTGTCCCATTCTTTAAAGTTATTAATAAACAAACTCTCATGGCGCTTAAATCATGTCTCAAAAGTAATCTCACTTTCTGGATCAAATCTAAATTCATTTATTGAATTCGCAATAGAATCCGGAGTCAAAGTGGAATCAGATACCTGAGTTCTTCAGGAGACTGACATTTTCTTGACCAATAACTGGATAAGAGAATTTCGCTGTTGCAATAAAGATTTCAGATCATCCATTATATTGTACCGAAATTCACTTTAACTGAATATATAGGCGCAGATCAGTTTTAACCACCGTCACCAAGGTTATACCGCTCTGTTTTACTTTCTCTACACGTCTGAGATGTTAATTTACCTTAAGTGTATATCTACACTCAGTTCCCTCCCAGTGTCTATTCTATAGAACTTCAACATAGCTCAGATCAAGAACTCATGGTTAGCCTGACTAGAGTGTAAATATATTTCCACATCAAAAGCCAACACAATCCAACAACAATGAACAATCAATAACGATTAATAATAATTATTGGGGTATATTTAACTCAACTAACACTTTTCAGACTACCTACATGTATAACTAAGCAAACAAATAATCATTATCATTCTCTCCTACACATCACCTTTATCCTTATGAAAATATTATTCAGATTTGAATTCGTCTTACAGACCACACAAATAGATAAAAACTATTGAGGAAGTGAACATATGATTGACATGTTTATTCTTACAAGCTGAATGTAATCGATTGTAACGTGTGATGAATACGTCACTCATAGTGGATCACATTTACATAGAAACTGAATTTATTTTTGAAAAAATCACCATTCATATGGATGGTTGAGAATTATCCATTTCATTATGTTTACAGATAATTTAGAACCGAGAAAATCTAAGGTAGAAACGGCAATAACAAATTGTAAACGTACGTCGAATATATCATGTTTATCTATCCTATCCTATCTTATACTATACTATCCACTACATTTTATGAAGCGTATTAATTTCGTATATTTAAAATGAAATTGTATTATTTGATCTAGGTCCAACAGATATTCAGTTAGTCAGTCAGTCAGTCAGTCAGTCAGTAACAACGTAGAACTTCGTACGCACGTACGTACGTACATCAGTTCGAGTTACCATACCTCCATTAGCACAAAGATACAATAGTCCATCCAAATCTCATAGTGGTATAGGTAGTAAGAGCATAAGCAGTAATGGGAATGATTAGGGTTTGAAGATGTTATTCAATGGGTATAATCTAGTGAAGTAAATTTTGAAAGAGAAAAACAAGAAAGGGATATGAAGGATTGAGAAGATTAGAATTTGGCAGAACACGAAGAGTAGATTCACCTGCACTATTTCAAACGATTATTATTACTATTATTCGCTTCATTCAATATTATATTTCGGATACAACATAGAATTCTCAACAAGTTTCCTTTACAAAGCACGGAAAAACAGGAAAAAAGAGAAGAAAGGAAAGAAAACCGTGAAAAACTGATCTGCATCTGTACAACCTTCCAAACTAGAGATATATTTAAGAATACAGATTATTGAATAGGTTCACTCTAATAACCTATTCGACACAGAATACATTTGCTAGGTAGGGTATTACAGATCTTCCATATCTTTGCTTGAGTCAGTCAGTCAGTCAACTACAATGTTGGACCAGGCACATATATGCATCAGTCCAAGTTGTCATACCACATTAGCACAACAAGATGAACATTGTATTCATAGAAGTAGTCGATTCAATGGTGGTAATTCATAAAAGAGAGATTGCGTATAAGAATATAGTACAGGATGAAACAACTAGAAAGAAAGGTATGAAGCAACTTCAATCTCACGTTTTAAGGGAAGACCTTGAGTATGGGGTTAGCGTTCTTATCCCGTAGAAAACTAACTAGCTAAAAAAACGCTAACCAGAGAAAATTATTCAAACCTTTTAAACTCTGCCCCGGGAGTCAGGAGGTCTTCATTCAAGGAGTATAATCCAGTGAAGTAAATTTCGAAAGAGAAAAACAAGAAAGGGACATGAAGAATTGAGAAGATTAGAATTTGGCAGAACACGAAGAGTAGATTCACCTGCACTATTTCAAACGATTATTATTACTATTATTCGCTTCATTCAATATTATATTTCGGATACAACATAGAATTCTCAACAAGTTTCCTTTACAAAGCACGGAAAAACAGGAAAAAAGAGAAGAAAGGAAAGAAAACCGTGAAAACAAGATCTGAAGAGGTTAACTCTAACAACCTATTCGTCACAGTCTATAAGGATTACATTCGGACAATTATTATTTTACTAGAAAGATTCGAATTCACAAGTATAGTTAGCTAACCGTTATGATGAATGCTACTTCAATCTGTATTCCTAAAATAGAATGCAATGCATCATATCCAGATAATCATCATTTAGTACTAATAATTATTGTTGTTCTCATTCCATCGATTTCTAAATTGTAGAACATTTAGATGGACTAATCGAAAAATTCAGAACAAACGAGGAACAATTACAAGATCTGAAAAGTAAGTTCATTCAAGGAAGTAGAAATGTAAACAGCATAGACGGGTAAGCAATTAACAGATAAATGATCAGATTGTCGGTTAAATGGAGATACGACTTATCACTTATCGTTCATCTTTCAGATGAAATCAATATGGAATTGTCAACAGAAAGTCAATCAATTGATCAATGTATGTTGAAACATGAACTAATCAAACAAATTTATCTGATGATTGTAGATATGAAGTGCAGAAGTAAACTTTATCAATCTATTGAACGAAAGATACTTATGGGAGGTCAGTGTGTACCGAATGTATTTCACTTCGGAATTGATGAATTCGATCGTCTGCAAATTACTGTTGTTGTTGTTGATGTGTGTGTGTGTGTGAAGTATTTATGCATCTGATGATTTGATTATTAATATGAAAATTTGAGGTGTATATAGGTTACAGACATGGGATGTGTAGCTAGACTCAATTGTAGAACATGTAACATGACACATGGCAACAGTGTGCATGGAGTTCGACAGTATTTGACTAGTTCACAACGAACACACTCAACATCCGACCAATTATGCATACAGATGAGATGATCGCACACACACACACAAACACAGAGAGTTTGTTGAATGGGCACATGTCAAACTGTTGGTTTCACACCAATACAAATACCGACATTGCCTCGTATCAAGTCTCGTGATAAGAATCTCAACATTATTGTATTTTGATCGTTGTCGCCAAATTCTCACATCAATCGTCGGAATGATGTAATGAACTTACGAATAAAATATTTCGGAACAAATAAGCAAATAAATAAATGATAGAATAGTGAAACATGATTTATCAATCGAGTTTATCTCTCACTCAATGTGTTTCATTGCTACTTTACATTCTCTTGTCCATCAATGTTTAGAGTTAATCAATGAAATGACAATACAAGAAAACATACATGGTATGTGTAATTTCCTCCAGTGTACTGATCGTGTTTGACAACTGAAACGGTATTCATGCCACTTCATCAACATTTTCACAATATTTGAAATGTGTTGATGATAAGTGTAGTTTGTATGGGAACACAATCATCATTTAATATACTTGACATCAACACTCCATTTACTTGTGAATGTTTCCAATGTGGTTCAATGTCTGTGATGACGAACTCTATGTGCTACATAGTTGTGGTTCTGTAATCTTACCGAATGTAAACCTTCTTATTTGACTATTGAATTGTAGGAACAACTGTTCGAAATTCTGATATAATGAAGAAGTGTTTCACTGAAGAACAGTCGGTTTATACAAGTGAGTGTGAATACTTACTAATGAGTGTTTGGCACATATGTTTCCTTTGAATTATTTAACGATGTTTGTTGGGATGGTTTCTGGGAACTATGACGTTGCCTTCATAGTCCCTAAAGGAGCTGAAGGTTATCCATCCGCTCAGAACTTTATGGAGCTTTCCAGGTTATCAACGTGACATGATACTATTTTACAGTAGTGTAATATACGTTTTTGTGGATTGGATGAGCCATAATTTTGGTATGACAGACGCTGATATCTATAAATACTCATGATTTCCTACTTATTTTGATTATTACCCGACAAGCACTGCAGTAGTCTTCTTCCGTTTTGTGGTTTGCAACTGTTGGTTCTATACGCTCGAGTGCCGTTGTTGTATTTTGTGTTCTGTGTTAAACAAGTAACTAACCTGACACTGGCGATGGGATGTACCAATAGTAGCGCCAATTACTCTTAAACATTTAGAATCTATACTTGAACTCCAGGAAGAACGGTACGAACAGTTCGAAGTGAGTGTCTGGGAGATGCTAACGCAACAAATGAATCTTAGTCATAAACGACTTGCTGATTATTCATGTAATTCACATACCGATTCCATCATTCATTCTATCCATGAATTTAATTTCGATGGTTTGGCTGGTATTACTTTTGAATTCTGGTTCAAGAAGCACGAATATTTGTTCAAGGTCGACCTCCAAAAACTTGGTGACGCAGTCAAGATCAGAACTCTGCTACGAATACTTGGCATGGTTGAAAACGAATGTCAGAGTAATCGCATCGTTCCAAAGAACCCATGAGATTTTTCGACGAGACTATAATTTATGGGTGAACCAATCACATATGAGATAAGAAGTTTTGGATTTTGGCGCGAAATCAACCCATCCATTTGGCTATATAGAGTCTCGGCATCATAGCCGATGTCAGTTCGTGATGAAAACCCTATATCTGATTCCTAATACTAACCATAAACTGTAAATATTATTTCTAACTCTTCACGCTGGTTTATAACCCTCATTTAGCCGTAGAATGTGAGTTAACATTCTCAAGGTCTGTTTAGCGTCGCTCAAAGGCCATCCATAAATTATAGTCTCACCGATTTTTCTTTTAATGCAACAATTGATATCTTCTCGGAAGTCTTTGCTGAAACGTCATTTTAGTTTACTATCCGCTATCAGTGCCCCAAGATAATAAAAGCCAGTAATAATGACAAGGTAAAACATGCAGACTTACTAAAAAGTGAATGTGAGAGGTTTAAAGTATCAACAGTGACAGCAGATCAGTTTAAGTGTCTCGTGTTTGTATACGGTCTCCAATCTCCCGAAGATGCTGATAATAGAACCAGAATTTTGAGTAAAATGGAACAATCACCGAACAAAACGCTACAGGAAGGAACCATCTTGAGCTCCCAACTTTGGCGATATTTTGGGGTTTTGATGCCATTTCCTTAAATTTTCCCCAGACCTGTGGAAATTCCCCAATACTTCCCCAAAGTTTGGAGTTTGGGAAGGAGTATCAGAGATTGACTAACTTGTAATACGACATCATGATTAAAAGTAATACCCAGCCGCCATACGTCCATGTTGTAAGCAAAAAGGAAGATTCCGGCTCAAGAAAATTATCGCACACAGACAATCAACCCTCACCTTCATGCTGGCAATATGGAGATTGACATTGTAAGAGGTTCTGCCCATACAGAGAACATTGTCGCACTAAATGTCATCGCAAGGGTCATAAAGAAATAAGTGGGGTAAGACTACAATTTATGGACGACATTTGAGCGACGCTGAAGTGACCTTGAGAGTGTAGCGTGGCGTCGTGTTGAGATTAACTATGAACGCCGCTACCAAGAAACACGTGCCAAGTGAATCAGAAGGCGAAGGTCGAACGTAATCAATTAAATCCATAAAATCCTTGAGAAGCCAAATACCAGAAGGCAATTAATGGACCATATCGAGATATATATTTGCTGGCAATCTCGTGGTATCGAAAGGATACCGAGATCGTGCCAGGATACAACCTTGGTTACAGAACGTAACCGAATTCGCGCGAAGTCACAATCAAAGTGTTAGTACAGGAATGGAAGCACAAAATCGCTGTCATTAGCACAGTCAAACAAAAGCACATTAAAAACAAGCACTGGTACAAATGGTTATAATAATTGTTTTTATTAAACCAGTCGTGTTCTCGTGATAAATGTGAGTCACTACAAGAGTGAGCATCTACTAATTAGGACTAAATGAGCGTTGTAAAGCAGTTAGAATTCTCTTTTACTGTTAACGATTATGGTGAAAAGTTAGATTTAGGGTTTTCATCACAAACTTACATCATCTATAATGCCAAAACTCTATTTAGCCGAATGTATGGATGAATTCGTGATTCCTTATCTCATATCCGATTGGTTCGTTCATAAATTATATTCTCGTCACAAGCTGCAGAAAAAACCCATAAGAGACATTCTTCGAAACCTTGCTTAGAAAAGTAGAGATCCGGAGCAGAAACTAACAAAACCTTGGAATCACATTACGGATTACGAATTTACCTCCAAAGAAAGTATCTAACTTTGGATATTAATAAACAAATTACTCGTCTTTGACTTGATACAGTATCTGATGTTCCTCTGGTCAACCCAGAAACTTGGAGGAAAATTGAGAGACCCACGGTTTATCCAACAACACAACTAGAACACAATGCATCTGGTGGGAAGTTAAATATTGTTGGAGAGGTATCTTGTACTGTTTCTAAAGATGATGTGAGGTTGAATGCAACAGTACACCTTACAAAGAATCCAGTATTCGACTTTTAGGGGTTAGATCTTATAGTGACATCAATACTAGTAGAGCATTCGATTAATAACAGCTGCAGCCTAATCAGAACTGATAACTCCTTAGAGCTCGACCAGAAAAATGCCAAGCTGCAAAGACACTACCACATGTCTATAGAAGGATTGGGAGAATGTACAAAATCCAAGGCATTATTATACCACAAACATGGAAGTACTTCCATTTTCCGAGCTAAGAGACCTGTGCTATATGCTGCCCTTACAGTAGATAGATGGAGGTGACTAATGGGGCTCATTCGAAGTGTATAAAACTTGACTGATGTATTTGCGAAGGATCTATTCAGACTGTTCACCTAGTGGCTACTAAGTCATTTCTATTCGTTCAAAATCATTTTTCAAATAATGATGGCGATGATGGTGGTTAACTTGTCGTTTATAGATTGAGCAATTCTACAATCGAATATTATAAATCCATATAATTCTAATATTTTCTGCAACATTTGTTTTTTCGTTCTCACATCGATCCAGAATTGGTGAATAAATACAGAAATGAAAATTGTCAGTTACCCGATTCTAACAATATTCGAGGTAAATTTTCTTAATGAATATACCTGTCTTTGTCATCCATACACATTCTAATACATGAGTCACATTTGTATATTTCATTGTTCATAGATAATCAACAACTACAGCACAAATTCCGTAGATTGGATGATCTACTACGACATCGATATGGGAAAATACGTGTATGCAACATTTATTTATGTGAGTATAGCAATTCTTCTCTGGATGTACATTGATTATGACAGATAAGAAATTATTCAGGTAGATTTTTAAAATAATGGACAAATACTTCTCATTCAGTTCACCAAGTCATATGAATCCATACTATCACTACATTGAGAAATGTTCAGTCAGTTAGTCAATTAGAACATGAAGATAAATGAAGATATGGAAACATGAGAATACAATTCATGATAAACTAGACCATTAGAACTGAACTTTTTGTTACTCGTATGATATTTGCAAAGTTTAATTCAAACGGGAACAGACACTGACATAGTTGTTGATTGCAACAATAAACACTGTGAATGTGAATTATTTCTCTCAAACATTACATTATCACTCACATTATAGATCTACTCACTATTCGATTTTCATTAATCTACCATGTGCTCACTAATGACTAGCTTCGTGAGAAAATTCTCGGAGTTCTGGTGAGGATTCGTGACCAGTGGTGTTAATCCTCGTCTTGTAGAAACAGGTGTCTACCTCAGTACAATAGGAGATGGCCGCACAATTTTGTGGATTGGTTGCGGTTATACATTAACACCATTGGATGTCGGCTCATTAGTTCAATAAATTGAGTGTTCGCGCGCGAGCGGGATCGTGGATGCGCACTTCTGGGGAGTCCCACAGTAGGACGAGACAGCTGTCCAGTGCTTCAAGGTTTTCAATAGTGGTCTGACATCAATCGGTTCATGATCTCAATCAAAAATCTATCAAGTATTTCACTATTCATACCTGTGAATTTAGATTTCAGTTAAATTTTATTTGTTTTCTTACATTTCAGTTTCACATGACATATTGCAAACTATTCATAAACAAATTGATAATCAGTTAAAGTCACGTTAGTCGATTTTCTTGTTTTATTTTTCTTGGATTTTCTTCTGCAGTGGCTGTCATTGAGAGGTGTACCTCAGAAATACGCAAACCATGTGAATTTTCTTTTTTAGAATGCTATCAGTCAAGTCAGACCTTATGTCAAACTGTCATCTGATTTTGCAACTTCATCGCCATTTCTGTATAATTTCATTATAGACCTATCGATGGAAATAACGATCCCGTCGAATGAATTTTCAGGAATCGATCTCCTTCTAGGAGGTCCACTTAGAATGTGTGGATGACACAGTTTTTTTTGATGATGACGCTGATAAAATTCAGTTACTTTTAGTTGCACTGGGCAACGATGCCAGAATGTTTGGGATGCGTTTCTTCCACTCTAAGTGCAAGCTGTTGACTGCCTCAACACCTGAACTAAGAATAGGGAGTGAGGTAGTCGAACTCACTGACAACTTCACTTATCTCGGAAGTCTGGTTAGGCGTAATAGGTTGGTGTCTGATGGATTCAAAAACCTTGTTTGGCTTTTATTAGCTTACGTCACTTATAGAGAATGCGAGATATTTGTCTATCATTTACGGGACGATTATACTGCTCTGCTGTCCGTTATGTTCTACTGTACGGCTATGAAACTTGACCATTATGAGTAGAAGATACTAGTGAGCTACTAGTATTTGACCACAGATGTCCTAGAGATATTGGTCACACCTTCTAGGATCACCGCGTTAGTTACAGTGAGGCTAGACGCAAGGGATTAGGGAATGATGGTAAATCATTTGATGGGGTTTTAAATTTTCATTTACTGAGATGGTTGGGACACGTGTTACGTATGCCTGAATACCGATTACGACGACGCGCAATGCTGACTAGTGTTGGAGATGGTTGGAAGAAAGTTAGGGGTGGTCAAACCAAGACATGGTACCAGTCTGTAAAGTCACTAATTTATGGTCTGAGCCATGTTGGTAGATACAAACTACTTGACCGGGGTTCGCTTGACATGGCTCAGAGCCGATCACAATGATATAGGTGTATATACTCTTTGTCTTCCCTTATACCGTGAGTTTTGAATTGCTTTATACTTATATTTCTACGAACCACTTGTTTCTCTCTGCATCATATCCTTCCACACAAATTTTTTATATATTACCACCGTTGACTTAACTGCTTCTATGAATCCACTATTCATCTAGTTGCACTAATGAGGTGTGACAACTTGAACCGACGCATATATGTGCCTGGTCTTACGTTGTAGCTAACTTACTGATTGATTGAGATTATTTATCGTAAATTGATACCGTTTAGAGATGAGAAGTGATTTATTGTTTATAGATCTAATATTTATTGAATGTAATTGATCAACTTTGTACCTAACTATACATCTCTTTTTTTTTTTAAATTTTTAGTTACTACTTGATTGTGTAGTAGAAAACAATCACATATGTTTGTCAATTGGATATTGTTTTAATTAAAATTATGTTCAATGAATTTTACATTTTATGAAGTAATAACGAATGATTATTTAATAGTTTTAATGAATCGCATTGTGGATGACAAATCTTCGAAATGAACGCTAAATTCAATTTCCTAAGCTCTTCTAGTAACCCCCAGGATAAATCTACACAGCAACTTGAACACGAGAGAAAAGGCGAGAAATATAGAAGAAATCCTTTACTTTAAAGATTCATTCATGTAGAGAAAATCTAGGGTTTTTACAGTATTTTAAATGGCCTCGAGTTTCCCGAAAATTTTGGAACGCTACTAAACATAGTAGGTAGGTAAATATCTGTTGATCGCCGACGTAGATTATCTATGTCGAGTGATTGGAGGCCTACTTGAGTTAGACGGGAATGGTGTGACAAACTAGCTAACTTCGAAGTCACACCTCGAGGTGAGCATCTATCATGGATTACCCCTTCGACGTATCAAAGTAATATGGCTCCTTTGAAGACCGTATAACACAAAGGACGTTATTATGGAAATATATTAGTAAGAATGAGTACAGAGAAGATAGTAGGACCACCACCGCATGAACCAGTCTATGGCATACGATTAACTGACGCGCGTTGGTTATCCTTGACTTTGATGGGGATCGATGATCCATTCGGCCAGGGTTCAGTGATATTTCACTGACATGTGACTTTTTACTTTCTAGATGTTTCTGGCAAAACGTCTATTGTATGTTGACAATATAAGATATTTCTCAGTGTTTTCAGACCCTTTTGGCTTTATTAGAGAAATTTTCTGGATCATCCCAACAAAGAATTTCCTTGTTTAGTTTTTGTTCAAGTATAAATTTAATGGTTGCTTATTGTGTTCCCCTACAAAGAATAGTAGGAGTTAAGTTTTCATTTGTAAGGTTTACTTGAAATAATATTTATAGGTTATTAGCTAAGAACTAATTTTTGAATCAAACAAATGACACACTTATATAGAGATATTATCTTAAATCGACTCACGAATTCAACCAATAAATTACCACAAACCTTCATTATGGCATACACGTTTCTTAGAAAACAAGAACCACAGTATGTTTGATTTACAGTACAGACTACTGAAAATAATGATGAGTGACATAAATACTAAAATGTTAATCAATTAAAGAATGGATGGTGCTAAAGAGTTCCTCTTGGTTCACTTTGTACTCCTCCAAAATCAACTTCAGGATGTTGTACAATTGATTGTGCTTCGTGTACAATTACTTACTTACGCCTGTTACTCCTCGTGGAAGAGCATAGACAGCCCATCAGCATTCTTCATCCAACCCTGTCCTTGGCAATCCTTTATAGTTATTATTTATCCTTTTCATATCTGCTTCTATTTCCCGATGTAGTGTCTTCTTTGGCCTTTCTCTTTTCCGTTTCCGTTCAGTATTCTAAGTTGGCACTTGTCTCCTGATTCAGTTTGTTGATTTCCGTAATGTTTGTTCTATTCATTCCCAAAGTCTTTTCCTGATTTCTTCTTTAGCTGGAAGTTGGTTTGTCCTCTCCTACAGAAGTCTGTTGCTGATGATATCCGGCCAATGGATGTTGAGTATCTTGCGTAGACAACTATTTATAAATACTTCAACCTTCTTGATGATGGTTGTAGTTTCGTGTAAAATCCTGAAACCATAGTACAAGAAACTATAAGTGCTAAACGTCCAAATATTATTCGATTGTTAAGTGCTAGATAGGTTATTTCACAGTTGAAACAGTCAGAAAATAAAGTTAACTATTCATGCTTTTAAAAGAGTAATGTAGAAGGGGAGAACACAGTCAAGTTACTAGGAATTAAATGTAATTCACAAAAATAATTAACGTTCGATAAACAGAATATAGGAAGCCTATTCAAAATAAGAGAAACCCAAAGTAAATAAAGGTGAATAAACGTTTAAAAGATGAACAAATATTGTTTAATATGTGTGAACGAACTAATGTGCCAAAATAAAAGACAAATAGTGTGAACCAAATTATTTGTTAGACAGACTGTAGTACAGTCAAAACATTAAATTTGTTGCATGAAACTCAAACTACTGATTAAAATTAAGTAGTATAATTCTAAATACTACTTGATGTAGAAGTTTGTCATTGTAAATCAGAACGAACAACTGAATTACAATACACTTTTGTCATATTAAACTCAAATATTTAAAAAATAAACATAACACATGGTTAAGCTAATGCTTTTTGTATGATTTCAATCTCAAAATGGTTTATCTGATGTATATCAAATAATTTAGTGATCCAATAATGTTGGAATGTCGACCAGGTGTTCTTCAGAATATTTGTTGATAATATGTAGCTCAATATTTAAAGAGGAATGTTATAATGGTGTGGTGATGCGTCGAGTCGTGGTTGACTATGACTCCCAATACAGGAAGACTACGCGCCAGTTAATTGATAAGATCCCACGTAGGCCAAATATCAGAAAGCAGTAGATGGGTGTAGTCGAGATGTATTTGTGGGTGATCTCGTGGTATCGAAAGAATACCGAGATCGTGCCAGGTAATAAGTGTGGTTACTGAGCGTAACCGAATTCGTGCAAGGTCACAAGCAGCGGAAGAATGTATGTATTTTGGTATGGTTAAACAAATAAGTGCGGTAAAGCAATCCCTGGTACAATTGGTTATGATAATAATTGTTTCCATCACACCAATCGCATTCTCTTGATAAAAGTAGGTCACTACAATGGCGATCCTTAACTCTGAGTTATTATATAAGAGAGTTCTATGAGTTTACTTTATATAACAAGTGAGCCAAATATATCTTCATAAGCACTAGGATTTGATGACACCTCTAGCTTGTCTACTGATTTTGGCGTTTTGGTTTCCCATCAGTATGGTCATGTCCTTTCCTGAGCATCTCACTACGATCGATTGCAGCCTCTCGTATAACTGATCCTTATCGTCATCATTGCTATCAATGGTGGATACATAACATTGGACAACATTCATTGTGATTACCTCCTTCTTTGTTTTGAATGATGCTTTGTTGATCCTGGGTCCATGATATCCCTAACCTATAAGTGTTTTAAGTGCATTTTTGGACAGCATCAGAGCAACTTCCAGAGCGTGCGGAACATTTTTCTCTTCATGATCGGAGTACATCAGCATCTCTCCTGAATCTATCCTTTTCTGTCCAGCTTGAGTCTACTGGCTTTCACTGATTTCCTCAATTTGGTACCTATTTGATTGGTCCTCGTGGTCTCTCACACTGTTCGGATGTTCCATGTACCAATAATTATTGTCACCCTTGTTGTTAGAAGAGGAACAGGCCTCGTGACCTCCAAAGAATCTCGGCTTTCACTATGAAGTGTCATAATTCTTCTGAATGAAGATCCTTCTATCAGAACACTTCTGACGGACATCAGAATTTCAGCAAAAGAATTACATTTACCTTCATAGCAGTGATATCACCTTCATTCATCATATCAGTGGCAATTCTGTCTTGTTTTACTTCTATTAATAGATGCATAGGTGACGACATCTACGTACCTGTATTTTCTAAACACAGCTATTGAATGAAAACACAAAACT